TTGTTTATAAAAATAAACATTTTCCCGGTGAGAAAATCTTGTCCAGGGCAATTAAGTTTGTATTTCATAAAGTTTTTAAACAGATGCGCAGATATACTACATATATCTATGGTTAATACTTTACATTAAATACCCATGATTTCGTTTGTTCATACTCTTAGGAAGTACTGAAAATAGTAATTTTTAATGTTATTGTATAGTTGTGTCTGTAGAGTTTACTCAGTTTAGGAGGTATGTATACCAGATTGAAAAAAAGTTGTAACTTTATCTGTTTATCCTCAATAATTAAAGTGTTATTATTATTATTATTATTATATACTAACCAAAACAGCGGGTTAAATTTTAACCCATGCAGGAATGGTGCTAATCGAACTTTGTTAACTTTGATTAACAATTTCGCTCCGTCACACGATTAGTCGGAGCTTTGGAGGGTTGTCAGTAGTACCATTATATTGAAGAGGTAATTCGATGGAGGCCATAACCGTGGTTGCTATCCAGGGGGGTGGTCAACTTTTGCTTTCCTAAAAGTGGCTTGCGCACGGAAATGACAAACGGTATTCTTTATTTGAGTTCATGTATGAAAAGTTCGCTATTTGTTGCATTTATGATAAAATTTCGGCAGGATTGTACCGAGTACAAATCCTACGAAAAGCCTATGAAAACGTTACATTTTTCTCTGTTGGTGCTGTTCTTGCTTCATTATGAATTCATTTTTACTCCCATGAGAGTTCCGTGGAATTTCCATGGAATTTGTGCTTTCGAGTTGTTTGTGCTGAAACGCATTTTCTCGTATAATACGCATTTTCTCGTATAATATCCAGATGTACGATGCCCTTCACGTGCGAATACGTGAAGGGCATCGACCGCATCGTACATCTGGATATTCGTTCGTGAAACTTTGGCGAACCAAGTTTATGTTGTTGCTACGGAGGAACTCTGATACCATAAAAGCTCCCTGCTGCGGAGTAAATTGTGGCATCGCCATTTCAAAGTGTACGGGGGTATTATACGAGAGAATGCGTTTCAGTACAAACAACTCAAAAGCACAAATTCCATGGAAATTCCACGGAACTCTCATGGGAGTAAAAATGAATTCATAATGAAGCAAGAACAGCACCAACAGAGAAAAATGTAACGTTTTCATAGGCTTTTCGTAGGATTTGTACTCGGTAAAATCCTGCCGAAATTTTATCATAAATGCAACAAATAGCGAACTTTTCATACATGAACTCAAATAAAGAATACCGTTTGTCATTTCCGTGCGCAAGCCACTTTTAGGAGAGCAAAAGTTGACCACCCCCCTGGATAGCAAAATTTACTATTTTCAAATTTTTTTATATTTTCCATAATTTAGGAACTCAAGCAATCCATACATATAAAAAATTACATTTCATGAACAGAATTGTGGAATTGAGAGCAATTTCAAAATTGTCTTACTTTTTTTGATACACCCTGTATGTATATTATTCTGTTCTCGAGTGCCGAGAACACTACTTCTCCAAACAAAACACTCCAGCAACGCTGAAGAGAGGGGTTCGAAGGCACTCGAACCCTCCGCCAACACACACACATTGCCGCGGCGATGGTCGTCAGTACGTGAGACGGAGCCTGTACGAAGCTAAGATAGAACCCGTAAGCGTTACTGGACCAGCGTCCAAGCGTGATGACAAACTGCAAAGAATGAAGATGCTACCCATGTTTTCCCGCAACATATCCGATATATGTTTAATTAAAACACGGTTAATAAACCTATTAACCATGATTAAATACGCCTTCGCCCATTTAGTACTACTAAATTCTAAACAAATTGTAATTTTCGACATACTATAACGCTGTTTTCTGACCATCAGAATTCTGTCAAATCTTCCCCAAAGTCCAGGAAATGGCATTTCAGAGACTCTAAATTTAAAAATTTCCCCTAGTCTCGCGCCTGCGGCGTTCAACTCGGGCCTGTGGCGTTCGACTCGGGCTTTCGGCGCTCGTTTTCAGCCCCCCCCCCCTCCCAATAAAAAAGCGCTTCCAAAGGCACTTCCAAGACGCACACCTCGACCAAAAGGGTCATTTGGAGAGTGCTTAGTTTAGACCTCATTCAATATTGTGTATTGGCTTCACTCTCCTCCGCAGAGGCTTTGTAGTTTGTTTTCTTTCTATGAGTTGCACTTGTGGGTAGTAGCGGGCTAGGCAGAGAAGTGGGCGCGCGGGGGGTGACGGGAAGAATGAAATTTAGTGTGATTCCCTATTATCTCCAAATGTCCATGATGCCCCTTTTAACCCCGCGCGCTCGCTTCCCCCGTGCGCCTACTTCTCTGCCTGACCCGCTACTGCCCGCAAGTCAAACTTATTGAAAGAAAACAAAAGAAAGAAAACAAACTCATAGAAAGAAAACAAACTACAAAAGCCTCTGCGGAGGAGAGTGTATTGGCTTCCAAAATAGGTATTCAATTCGATGAACAACTGATCTATAAGGACAGCATATTTTAAAAAATAAAACTAACATTCTGTTGATGAATGAGAAATATTCTATATAGACTTGTGAAATGGTTCTGATTCTGAAACTGAGCGAACAAAAACGACGCAATCAAATGATTATTGTTTTCCAAAGGTTTCATTCTCTGGTTTAATAGGCAATTTTAAATTTAAATTATGCACGCAGATGGCAAAATATTGTGTGACATTTGCTTACTAAAATATCAGCCCCCTGTAGTGCCAGACACGCAAATTACGCAAAATAACCCGGTTTTTCGGATTAAAAACAGAATTCTACCCTTTTATATTTAACTTTTCTGAAAGGTTCGCACGGCTATAAGTACCTTGAGTATAACACTTTCAGGTTATGTGTTTCACAAACAGTAAAAGCGTAAACTGAGATCGGACTCGGGGGGTTGAAGTTCGGTGACCATTGATATTTTTAATATAGATTAGTACACGGCCGAGCCCGTGTGCGCACTTTACAGTGGATTCTCAGCATCTTAACATGCGCAATGTTCAAAGATTCGCACGGTTTCAGAATGCTTGGGGTCTGGTGAACGTTCTCGCGCTAAATTTGTAAATATTGGCGCAATACTCGAGTCGGACTTGGCCATTTTATCGAAGCATGTCTTCTAGATCTGTGGCTGTGTCCATCTCATCGTGGGCATCGTATTACTTATAGTTATAAGTTATAGTGTGCATGCCGTCATTTGTTGGTGCTATATTAATGAGAATACGTTTGATGAAAGTATAAATACTGGCAGTGGCAATGTATACAAGATTCCTCATTTCGATATTAGCATAAGCAAGTAAGTTTATATATGATTGTATTATCGAGATCGAATTCGCGCAATACAACGTTTGCGGTTTGTCCCGCGAATTCAATTGGGACACAATTTTTATTATTGTATAAACGGTAAAACGTATGATCGTATTACTATTAACAGAACAGTTTAATTTACAGTAAGATACTGCAATGTCAGTGGTATCAATTTCTATTTTCTTATAAAAACCTTCATAATGACGAAATATCTCAAGATGGCGACTGTGGGAAAGCGTGCTACGCAAAGCTCGGAAATGAACTACGCATGCGTAAATTTGTCAAAAGCAAATGTCCAGCTTAATAGGGAAATTTTTTGGTATCGGGGATGGGAAGTAAGGTATCATATTGCTGATCGCCGAAACAACCGAAATTCAAGTATAAGCTATCACTCTGTGGCCATTAGACGAAAGGTTTTATTCTTTCAGCATAATCAGCAATATGATACCTTACCCCCCCCCCCCCCCCCCCCCC